GATTTTTGCAACTTGCCAACAAGTAATTACTTTGTTTAACATGATGTGTTAAAACAGGGGTGTCCAAATTCAGTCCTGGACGGTTTAGCTACAACCCTAATCAAACCCACCTGAACCAGCCAATCAAGCTCTTACTAGGTTTACTAGAAACTTCATAGCAGGAGTGTTGAAACAAGTTGTAGCTAAACTCTGCAGGACCCCTGTGCTAAAATAACTAAATTTGAAATAAAAATTAATAAAAAAAAACATCCAAAGAAATTAAACTTGCAAAACATGACACATTTACTAACTAAAATAAAGACAAAACTATCTTTTAAATATACATAAAAATATATATTTTTTTTAATTATTAAAATATTAAATTATTAAAATATTAATGTATGTAAGATTGACACCCAGTGGTTGAACTAGGTATTGCACTCCAGGTTCAAAACACACGCAATTGCAGGTTGCCAGATTGACGGCAGCAACAGGAGTGAGTCTGACTATCGAGCCACAAGGCTGATTTAAACTGTGCTGTAAATAAAAGCAAAGACACGCGATAAGAAAGAATATTCTCCATATTAAAAGGAGTTTTTTCCTTACCAACACCTGAAATTTTCATTTTAGAAACGGATTCACAGCTGAACAACACAAAAATATCACAATGATCACCTCAGGTACACCTCATGTGCTTCATTCAGTGTTTAATGCTAATAATGTGAGTTTGAATGCCATTTTTCATGATATTTATTGCCATACTACTGAAAGCAGCAGTAGCAGATGGTTCACCTCAGATCTTAAAAATAAAATAAATCATTTTATTACATTTTTTACTTTAGAGCTGTGACTCAACACATATCAGTAATTCAGCATGTAGATTTAATAATGCCAAAGAGGTTTAATATGTATTAATTAGATTATAAACCTTACCATTTCATTGGAGTGCAGTGAATGCACTATTCTGTGCTTCTGAATGGCTGTCTTTAAAAGTTCTGTTACAGAAAATCTAGTCACAAAGAAAGTTGTAGGACACAGGATTACAATGTAACCTGCTAACCTAATGTTTAAATTCATAAATATTTATATTTTTTACTAATTAATAGCCACCATATGTGGAACTCTGAATCTGTGTCTCATTTCGGAAACTTCTACTGTACACTGGACGCATTTCAGTCACAGATGCATAATTTGAGAGCCTTTCTGATTGAATGAATGAAATGCGCTGTTTTCCACCAAGGTAACCCGGGCTGCTGAAATATAAGTGACTATAGTGGCAGTGGACGAGTTAAAGGGACCAAAACAAAGACACGTAACAGACATTTTCAAAGTAGAATATCTGACTTCATCATTGTTTTTTAGATAAACAAGAATGTTAACTTAGCATGTTTCTTAAATATCTGCAAACGTATTATGGTATTTTCATGATGTAGAAGAGTCAAAAACGTACATACGGCACCTTTAATTCAGATATAAGGGTATTTAATATTATACACGATTATATCTATTATTATATTGACAAACACTATATCTGTAAAATAAACCTGTTCTGAACTAACAGTAGACCTAATTAAATTGGCAATTAATCAAACTAACAAAACATAATGAAATTACTAACTAAAAGACTTCAAAATATATGAAAAAGCCTCTTTAAGAATCTTTAAATAATATAAATATTAATACAGATTTAATAGTATCTAGTATTATATTTACATACACTATACCTTAAATAAACTTGTTCTGAATTGACAGTTTTATATAAAAAACAGTACTTGAACATCTAAAAGAGTAGACTTAAAATAAACAAATAAATAAATGCATTCATATCAATCAGCTTCTGACAAAATGGCAAATAAACTCTTAGGACCCCCGGGTTCCTGCAGAGAACGGGTTACACATATCTGGTCTAGATCTCCTTGGACAACCCGTGTCGGCCGTCAGCGGAGATGTTTCGTGGTGAACATGTGAAGTATATGTGTGTCAGATCTGCCTGTCTGAGCTTTCTGCATCAGTGGTTATATTCATAGGGACAGTTCGAGGAGCAGGACCAGTATTACACAAGAGGCTTTGTGTGTGTGTTTGGCGTTTAAATAAGCAGATTTAAATGTAAAAGAGCTGCTTTATTTGAGCTTTTCATCTGTCACCAGCACTCAGCCTGTTCATCAACTAAAAATGGAAGGTTTTTGGCTCTAGAGGGTGTTTTTTTTTTGTTATATGCTTATGTGGTTCTCTGAGATGAACTGTTTAGGTACAGCAACGTATTTACATTAAAATAAAAATTTAATGATGCAAGCATATGTGCTAAATGCTTTTTTTCCACCTAAAACAGAAATATTAATGTGCAACTTATTTTTTGGACAATATTGTAAGATCAGTTATTGCATCAGTAAATATATATATATATATATATATATATATATATATATATATATATATATATATATATATATATATATATATATATATATATATACATATATATATATACATACAGGTGAAGTCAGAATTATTAGCCCCCCTTTGAGTAGTATTATTTTTTTAATATTTACCAAATTATGTTTAACAGAGCAAGGAAATTTTCACAGTATGTTTAAAAATATTTTTTTCTTCTGAAGAAAGTCTTATTTGTTTTATTTCAGCTAGAATAAAAGCAGTTTTTAATTTTTAAAAAAACATTAAGGACAAAATTATTAGCCCCTTTAAGCTAACTTTCTTCTCGATAGTCTACAGAACAAACCATCGTTATACAATAACTTGTCTAATTAACCTAACCTGCCTAGTTAACCTAAATAACCTAGTTAAGCCTTTAAATGTCACTTTAAGCTGTATAGAAGTTTCTTGAAAAAACATCTAGTCAAACATTATTTACAGTCATCATGGCAAAGATAATATAAATCTGTTATTAGAAATGAGTTATTAAAACAAAATAAAAAATAAACAGGGGGTGAATAATGCAGGGGGGCTAATAATTCTGAATTCAACGGTATACAGCAGGGAATATAAATATTGAAAATGTCATGTTTTTTCCTGGGAGTAATATTTCTAAAGGAGCTCTTAACATGAAATCATGATTTTGGTAAAAACTCAAACAATACAAACATAAAAATAAAACACAACAAAAACTATCTAATTAATGAGTTATGTGTAATAACAATGGAATAACACAAGAAGAAAGTGTTGAACTACTGAAATATATTTTAATTAGGCCAAATGGAGGATGTTTATTCTTTATCCTCGCGCAGACAGTCTGTTTAACTGTTTTCTTGCTAGTGAAGCGTTCAGTTTTTCCACTTACAAAGTCTGCCATGTAAATAGCAAATGCGCCATGGCACAACACAACTGACTGTAAAAAGGTAATGATAGATGAGACTCTGATTGCTTTAATGGACATTAAAACACATCCATAACTCATTAAGAGAATAAGCACAACCCTGTTAGACAATGCGCCTAATGCTTTTGCGCCATGCGCTTTAGACTTTGTGCCTAGATCATTGAAATAGAGCCCTTTGTTTAAATTAAAAACTGCATACTGCCTAAATATACAGTGGGCAAAGAAACAGTATGGGAAAATGGTAGTATACCTGAATAAGAGTATTATATTTAATAACTGTATTAAATGTTACTTAAAACTAAATAATTACAGACCTCATATCTCAGAGTACTGAATGAGGTGCTGTTGAGGTGTTAGAGAGTGGTCTGATGGGTGTTTTTAGGGCCAGAGCTGTAATTGTGAGTGCTTTAGGTGTTATTTCTAGATGTTTCTATCACTGGTGTTTGTGTTACCCTGTTCTCTGGTAAAGTCTGCTTCACTCATGCTGACGGGCAGCAGTAACTCTCCGACTGCAGGCTGGATCGACACGCTGAATTCGTCTTCTTTAGTGCTGGAAGAGGAGAAAACAGCACCATCAGGACAACACACATCCTTTCATCGGTTTCTCTACTATTTAAAGTTGAAGTCAAAATTCTTTTTCAAATGCTTCCCAAATAATGTTTAACAGAGCAAGAAATATTTCACAGTAATTTATGTAATATTTTTTCTTCTGGAGAAATTCTTATTTGTTGTTTCAGCTACAATATAGGCAGCTTTAATAATAATAAAAAAAACATTTTATTGTTAATATTATTAGCTTCTTTAAGCAATATATATTTTTAATTGTCTATAGAGCAAACCATCAATATACAATAACTTGCCTAATTACCCTAACTTGCCTTAATTAACCTTATCTTGAATTATCTTGAAAAATATCTAGTAATATATTATGCACTGTTATCAAGGCAAATATAAAAGAAATCAGTTATTCGACATTAGCTATTAAAACTATTATGTTTACAAATGTGCTGAAAAAAATATCCCCGGAATTTAAAAATATCCCCAATTTAAACAGAAATTGTGGGGGAAATATGCAGGAGGGCTAATAATTCTAAAATATACAGTACACATACTGGACTTTTGGAAAGAAATGATACTTGTATTCAGCAAGGATAAATGAAATTGATTCAAAGTGACAGTAAATATTTGTACAAGATTATATCAAAAAATAAAGTTATTCTGAATTTTCTATTCATCCTTGAAAACCCAGCTTCACAATTCAGCATTGCATCCAAAGAAATACATATAATAATAATAATTATATTCAAAAACAGCTACTTAACATTGCAAAATAATATTTCACAATATTACTATTTTGGTTATATTGTAAAATATTTTTTTTGCAATGATAAGTAGCTGTTTTTTGTTGTTGTTGTTTTTCTCCCAATATTACTATTTTGGTGGGCGCCACGGTGGCTCAGTGGTTAGCACGGTCGCCTCGCAGCAAGAAAGTTGCTGGTTCCCGGCTGGGTCAGTTGGCATTTCTGTGTGGAGTTTGCATGTTCTCCCCGTGTTTGCGTGGGTTTCCTCCGGGTGCTCCGGTTTACTCCACAGTCCAAAGACATGCGCTCTAAGTGAATTGGGTAAACAAAATTGGCCGTAGAGTGCGAGTGTGTGTGTGAATGAGTGTGTATGGGTGTTTTCTAGTACTGGGTTGCGGCTGGAAGGGCATATGCTGGAATAGTTGAGCCTAAGGAAATTAAATGAATGAATACTATTTTGGTATTTGTAAATCATTTAAATCAGCTTTAGTGAGAAAATGAGTTTTGCTTTAAAACTACAAATATGTATAAAAAAAAAATTATGTGTCAATTTTTACTTCATAATAACTAAGAAACGGATGCAATAAAGCTGTAAAACAATTAAGGGAAGTTATAACATTGTATGACAACAAGTAATGAGAGACTAAAACAAAAAAAACGAAACAAAACAGCTACTTAACATTTTAATATTTCGCATAATTTTGGTAAACAACAAAAGCAGAAATCTAAACCCCTAAAGAAAAAAGTGAACAATTTTTAGCTGTAATTTTTTGGTATTACCTTTTCACATTTCGAGTGCCTTGGACTTCTCATTTTGTTGTTTATCTTTTTGAATTCCTCATCCAAAGAGCACTGACACTTTAATTACCTTTAAAAAACTTTTTGTTTGATTATGTATACCTGTTTTGATAGTTAACATCAATTTGCAGTAAGTCAGCTTTAGGAGAGTTCACAAATATGAACAAAGAGAGCATCAATTTTAACGTTTCCCTAAAGAATGAATGCAATAAAACCCATTGAAACATTTTAAGGAAGTTATAACATTGTTTCGCAGTTTTTCCAAACAGGTAACAACATTTTACATCTACGCTGGAGACTAAAACTCAATCCATTTTGATTTCGGTCCCCTTTCTCTCATCCAAAAGAGTAAAAGAATAAAGTTATTGATTGTAAGGTTTGCCAATTTACTTTGTAAGTAGCCAATTAGCTGCGAAACAGAACTGTTATTACCGTCCCACCGGATCAATCATCGCTGATCCACAGAGGCGAGAGGATAAAACAAGCGAGGGAAAAGGATGAAAGTCTTTTTCTATTTTCATATTCGTATCGATTAGCATCATCACTGTTTGTGGCCTGGGTTATAGAAAAAAAGACTGTCGGGTGCTTCGATAAAGACCGAAATCTGACATTAAAGTCCCATCATGAAGAGCGGCAGGCTGGGAAATAGGAAGCAGATAAGGAGTGAATCCAGAAATGGGAGTGCAGGGTCAGCCCGGAGATCAGTTGATGAAGGGAAACGGCCTTGAAAATTAACCTGTGACCAAATAAGCAGGCTAAGGATCGATGCGCAAAATACAGTAATTCCATGTATTTCTTTCTAATACAGCATAATATCTTGAAGTAATGGCCATAGCGAGGAGCCGAATCCCTTCTTAAACTTGGCTTTCGTCTCAGGATATCTGTATATAAAGTATGTGTCCATATAGTTAAACTCACAATTATTCGGCCTCCTGTGATTTTTTCCTTCTTTTTAAATATTTCCCAAATGCTGTTTAATAAATCATGGAATTTTTCACTGTATTTCCTATAATATTTTTTTTCTTCTGGAGAAAGTCTTATTTGTTTTATTTTGGCTAAAATAAAAGCGGTTTTTAATTTTTTCAAAACATTTTAAGGTCAATATTATTAGCCCTCTAAAACAATATATATATTTTGATTGTGTACAGAACAAACTATTGTTATATGACTTGCCTAATTAACTTAGTTAAGCTAGTTAAGACTGAAATCTGACTTTAAAGTCCCATTATGAAGAGCGGCAGGCTGGAAAACAGGAAGCTGATAAGGAGTGAATGCAGAAACGGGAGTACAGGGTCAGCCAGGAGATCAAGTGATAAATGGAAACGGGCATGAAAAAGATTCAGAGACCAAATACACAAGCTAGTGCCCAACAATCCAGGTATTTTGTTCTAATACAGCATAATCACTTGAAGTAGGGTGATAGCGAGAAGCCGAATCCCCTTCTTAATCCCGGCTTTCGTCCCAGGACGACTGTATATAGATGTGTATAAACCTATACTGTCATAATTATTAGCCCTCCTGTGAATTTTTTTCTTTCTTTTTTTTTTTTTTTTTTTAAATATTACCGAAACGATGATTAAAAGAGCAAGGAATTTTTCACCGTATTTCCTATAATATTTTTTCTTCTCGAGAAAGTCAGTTTTTAAAGCAGTTTTTAATTCTGAAATAGGACATTAAAGTCCCATCATAAAGAGCGACAGGCTGGGAAATAGGAAGCTGATAAGGAGTGAATCCAGAAACGGGAGTACAGGGTCAGCCCGGAGATCAGGTGATGAAGGGAAACAGGCTTGAAAATGATCCAGAGACCAAATAAGCAGACTAGGAATCAACCTGCAAAGTTCAAAATTCAAGTATTTCTTTCTAATACGGTGTAATATCTTGAAATAGCAGTGATAACGAGGAGTCGAATTTCTTCTAAAACCCAGCTCTAATTTTTTTAAAACCATTGTAGGGTCAATATTATTAGCTCTCTTAAGCAATATGTTTTTGACTGTGAACAGAACAAACCAATGTTACATGACTTGCCTAGTCAACCTGGACTAAAATCTGATGTTAACGTACCATCATAAAGAGCGGCAGGCTGGGAAATAGGAAACTGATAAGGAGTGAATACAAAAATGGGAGTACAGGGTCAGCCCGGAGATCAGGTGATGAAAGAAAACGGCCTTGAAAATTAACCTGTGACCAAATAAGCAGGCTAGGGATCAACGTGCAAAATAAACCCAGCTATTTCTTTTTGATAGAGCATAATATCTTGAAGTAACAGTGATAGCGAGTAGCTGAATCCCTTCATAAACCCAGGTTTAGCCCTGGGACATCTGTATTTACTGTATGTGTACATATATACAGTTGAAGTCACAATTATTCACACTCCAGTGATTTTTTTCTTCCTTTTTTAAGCTAGAAGCCGAAACCCTTCTTAAACTTGGCTTTCGTCCCAGGACATCTGTATATACAGTATGTGTCTATATAGGTAAACTCACAATTATTCGCCGTCCTGTGATTTTTTTCTTTCTTTTTAAAATATTTCCCAAATGCTGTTTAATAGATCAAATAAATTTCACAGTATATCCTATAATATTTATTTCTTCTGCAGAAAGTCTTATTTTTTTTAATTTCGGCTAAAATAAAAGTTTTAAATATTTTCAAAACATTTTATGGTCAATATTATTAGCCCTCTTAAACAATATATATTTTAATTGTGTACAGAACAAACTATTGTTATATGACTTGCCTAATTAACCTAGTTAGGACTAAAATCTGACGTTAAAGTCCCATTATGAAGAGCGGCAGGCTGGGAAATAGGAAGCTGAAAAGGAGTGAATCCAGAAACGGGAGTACAGGGTCAGCCCGGAGATCAGGTGATGAAAGAAAACGGGCTTGAAAATGATCCAGAGACCAAATAAGCAGGCTAGGGATCGACATGCAAGGTAAATCCAGGTATTTCTATCTAATACGGCATAATCTCTTGAAGTAGTGGTGATAGCGAGGAGCCGAATCCCCTTCTTAAACCCGGCTTTCGTCCCCGGACAAGAAGACACGCGTGCAGGCCTGACCTACGCCCACTCGCCTCCATGTCATTGAACTCACATTGGCTCCATTAGCACACATAATCTAGCGGTGGCCCGTTCCCTCGCTCTCTCGCTCTCCGGCTCGGCTGTTTATGGTGATGTTATTCACGCCTGGCTATTTCACTGTATCGATCACAAAAGCCTCCGGCGTAATCGAAAAAAGAAAAAACAATTACAAGCTTTGTGGAGAAGTGTAATCACTCCAAATTGCATTATTAAAAAAAGAAGAAAAAAATGTAATGCATATTATTACCATTCACACGATTCGGTAATCATTTATTTTTTAAAAGCAGATTGAAAAGGGGAGCAATTAATTTGGTCTTATTTCGCCCCTGTGTAAGCATAATGAACAACCTGCAATTTAATCTGTATAATGACATGCCGGAGCCATCATAATGTGCACGCACAGTGAGTGTGTATTCATGTTCTTGCTAAATATTGTTGTTTTTTCGAGGAAAGCAAACACTATTATGGCATGTGTCTGTTATACCTGATCTAAGGGATTTAGTGCTACTAATGTAGAATAAAGGTACTGAAGGTACAGATTTGTTTAATCCTCAATGTTAATTCTGCTGTATATTATTTGCTCTATAGTGTATGCAGTGTGTATGTGGTGAATTGTTACCAGAGCTGGAAGTTTGCAGCTTGTGTGGAGTCATTAAAGTTCACACCGATGGACACTGTTACTGATGCCTGCGGCTCTAGACGCTCTAAAGCGGGAGAAATAGAGAGGGAGAAAGAATATCTGTCACCTTTCTGGTTGAAGATTCAAAACCATAAGATCAATGTAATATAGAGTGATATAGACAGATAGAAAGAAGGAAAGAAAGAAAGAAAGGAAGGAAGAAAACAAAGAAGAAAAAAGAAAGAAAAAAAGAAAGAAAAGAGTGAAAGAAAGACCATAAGATTAATGTAATATAGAGATAGAGTGATATAGATAGATAGAAAACTCAAATGAATGAAGGAAGAAAGGAAGAAAGAAAATAGTAAAGAATGAAAAGAGTAAAGAAAGAAAGAAAGAAAGAAAGAAAGAAAGAAAGAAAGCAAGAACAAGAAAAGGAAAGAAAAGAATAAAGGTTTGAAGAAAAATAATGAAAGAAAAGAAAGAAAGAAAGAAAGAAAGAAAAAAAAGAAAGAAAGAACAAGAAAAGGAAAGAATAAAAGTTTGAAGAAAAATAATGAAAGAAAAGAGTAAAAGAAAGAAAGAAAGAAAGAAAGAAAGAAAGAAAGAAAGAAAGAAAGAAAGAAAGAAAGAAAGAAAACAAAGAAAGAGAAAATACAAAAAAAAAGAAGGACAGATGAAATAAAGGTATGGAAGATGAATGGAAGGAAAAGAGAAAGGAAGAAGAGAGTAAAAGAAAGATAGATTCAAAACCATAAGATTAATGTAATATAGAGATATAGACAGATAGAAAACTCAAAGGAACAAAGGAAGGAAGAAAGAAAGAAAAGAGTAAAGAAAGAAAAGAGGAAAGAATAAAGAGGAAAGAATGAAAGAAAAAGATTTAAATCCATAAGAATAATGTAATATAGAGCTAGTGATATAGATAGATAGAAAACGCAAAGCAATGTAAAAAGAAAGAAAGAAAGAAAGAAAGAAAGAAAGAAAGAAAGAAAGAAAGAAAGAAAGAAAGAAAGAAAGAAAGAAAACCGACAGAACAAAAAAGAAAAGCACAAAAGAATAGGAGGACAGACAGAAGAAAGAAATGAAAGATGAATGGATTCAAATAATGAAAGATGAACTGAGTGACTGTAAAGACAGGAAGAAAAAGGTGAATGAAGTGAAGAATGAAGGAAGGAATGGAGGAAAAACAAAGAGAAGGAAGGAAGGGAAGAAGAAAATAATTAAGAAAAGGAAGAAAGAAAAAGAAAGAAAGAAAGAAAGACAGAAAGAAAGAAAGAAAGAAAGACAGACTGATAGAAGGAAGAGCAGATTGACTGCCGTGAAAGCGCAACACAGTGCAGAAGTATAGAAGCTTCATCCATTCTCCTCTTTCTTGCCATGAAATCCATCTTTATGATGCTTCAACCACACAAACACGCTTCAATTTAATGTAAGAAAAGCCAGAGCGGTCCTGTGAATGAAGAAGAGCTGTTTGATCACACATTTACACACACAAACACAGAGGGAATGTGTGTCTGTGAGTGTGTGTCTGATGAAAGTTCTTCTGCTAATCAATACAGTGCCTGAAATCATATCAGCTGCATTAATACAGCGAGAAGCAGGAAACAGGTGTGTGTGTGTGTGTGTGTGTGTGTGTTGACTGCCTGTTTAACTAATATCTGTGTAAAACAGCTGTAACATTTTACATTTTTCTTCCCTCTTAACAATTCTTAACCATATTACAAATAATCATGCTTTCTATAAAGTGGATCATGGATTCTATAAAGTTTAGAAACTTTGCATGTTTACTTACATACTTTACTATGTGTCCAATGCAAAGAAAGAAAAAAAAAACAAAAGAAAAAAAAAAACACAGTATTTGAAGTGAATCAAAAACATTAAGCTGTCCCAAGACATGAATGGACATTGATCATTATACTTTTTAGTTTTTAAACAACTTTGATGAAATGTTTTGTAAATAATATAAATATACAATAATGTTGAAACTAAAATGAGACCAAAACAAAAAATATACAAAAAAAAACAAAACAAAAACAACACAAAACAAAATAAAAAAAACATATACAAAAAATAAAACTAAAACAAACCCTAACAAAAGACAAACCAAAAACATTATTAAAATGAAACAAAACGCAAACAAACAACTATTCAAAATAAAAAACACAACACAAAAACAACAAACCAAAAACATGAACAAACCCAAAAACATAGCTAAAACAAAACCACAGTAAAACAACACAAACAGCAAAAACAAAAAACAAAAGCTCAAAAAACTTAACTCAAAAAATTAAAACAAAACAAACAACATAAAGAAACATAAAATCAAAACAAACCTTACCAAAAACAAAACTAAAACTAAACCAAAAAACTATACAAAATAAAAAACACTAAAAAAAGACAGAAACACAAAAGCAACACAAAAAACTAAATTAAACAAAAAACAAACCAAAAACTAAAAAAACAAAACAAAAACCCAAACAAAACAAAATCCAAAAACACACACAAAAACTAAAAACAAAACAAAAACCACAATAACTAGAAAACAAAACAAAAAACGAAATTAAAACAAACCCAAAACAAAAACTAAAACAATAAATCTATTGAAAATACAAAACAAAACAACAGAACACAAAATCAGAAAATCAAAAAACTAAAACAAAACAGAAAACAACACACAGAAACAAAATCAAACCAAACCCACCAAAGAAACAAACAAAAAAACTAAAACTAAACGAAACCACAAAAACAACCCCGAGAAAAAAAATACAACT